CTCCCTCTGCTTCTTGGCAGCCTTTGCCTCTTCTTTGCGCTTCAGTTCCTCTTCGGCGAGTCGCTCCTCTTCCTCAGCCCTGGCCTTGTCCTCAGCCTCGAGGCGAGCGAGCTCCTCCTCGCGCTTCCGTCGCTCTTCTTGCTGCTTCTGGAGAGCTGCAAGGGCAGCAGGAACCTTCTTCTTCTTGCCGCCAGCGGCAGCAGGCTCTGGTGTAGGTGCAGCAGCTTCAACAGGTTTGGCCTCGGCGGCCTTGGGTTCGGACTTCGCAGGGCCGGTAGCCTTTTTCTTTGCAGCCTGTTGTACTGTTAGTCTTGTCTACCCATGTAAAAGCCTCAAAAAGAACGCACCAGCTCCTTCTTTCGCTGCTTCTCCTTTTCCTTCTTCTCCTTCTCCTTCTCTGCCTTGGTCTTCATGCGAGGCGCCTCGGTCTCTGCCGCAGGCTCTTCTGCCTTCTCAGCAGGAGCAGCTGCAGCAGCGCCGCCCTTCTTATTCTTCTTTCCATAGTTTCCAGCAAAGACATCGTCATCATCCTCAAAGCTGGCCTCTTGAGGCGCCTTGTCCGCAAACTCATCGCCACCATCTGCTGCCGGTGGGTCTTCACCCTCGACTTCTGTGTTTGCGCCCTTCTTGTTCTTCTTCTTGCCTCGCCTCTGAAGCGCGGCCATCAGGCCACCGCCCATAGCCTCCTCCTCAGCGCCACCTTCCTCAGCAGCTTGGGCTTCCTGAGCAAGCGCATCATTTTCGGTCGTGACGGTCTCGCCGAGCTCGGCCTCCCAGTCATCGTCCTGCTGCTTCTTCTTTCCCTTCTTGGGCGCCATTTCGTCGGTTGGACTTTTTGCGAGGAAAAGTGTGGGCGCTCGTTGCGTGTGTTATGTACAGTCCTCAAGTCACAAAAGTGCAAGTGGACTTTGGGAGTGGAGCGTGGGGACTAGCTAGCGTTTTTGAAAGATCCCGTGAGTCAAAGCTAAGCCAACGAAGGCCTGGATCTAGCAAGGAAGTGACGGGAATTTGAAGCGTGAGGCAAACGCACACAGGGCGATCGAAATTCGTCTGCTGCTTCGATTGTTCGCAGTGGCGCTAAATGGTGGGGTAGCGATCCGTGCACTGCGGTTGTGAAGGTGTGGCGCAACACGGCTTGAATTGCCTGTTACTATTGTTTGGTCAAACGAATAATAACATCTGGGAGATATCATATGCAGATATTGTCGTTGTAATCGCTTAAATATGTTTGTTTGTAATTGCTTGAATAAACTATTGCATTGCACAGACACTGTTATGCTAATTGGCACAGTATGCTACAAGTCTACATCCATCGCCACAAGTGAACATCTATACATTCCCTCTGATCGTACAACACCGCAACCCAACGCACTGTCTACCTTCTCCTCAGGTACCAGTTGAATGCCAACTGGCCAGTCTCAACGTGGAAAGGTGTGGGCACCTCAGCTAACCCTGGTCGTGCCACGGGGTGTCTTAGGTAGACAGCTGCGCAGATGTTCTGGTTGACCTCAAGGTACCTGGGGATGAATGCAAATGCACTCATGTAGTCCCTTGGCCGCCATGGAGTGGCGTAAGGTGCGGCAGCATTTCGCGAATTCCAAGCAGATGTGTGTTCGGTCTCCAGTCTCAGCTTCTCGAACGCCTTGCGCAGTTTCGTCTGGTCTTCTTCACTGAATAGAGGCTCTTCGATGGCGTCGGGAGTTGTGGCGGTTGTGGAGGGGGCGGATCGGCCAGCGAGCTGGGTCTTGAGGAAGTCGAATTGCGTGTCGAGGGTTGAGATGGACTCTGGTGACGCGCTCCTCCACAGGCCAATGGCGCGCTTGACGGTCTGGCGGAAAGCACGGAACTTCTGCTTGTCCTTTGCACCGACGTCTTCGGCGAGAACCTCATCCACGTTGTCCATCATGGACTGGAGGTGCTTCTTCAGCTCGGTAGGCGTGGGCTCTTCGCCCTTGGACGGGACGATGACTTCTGGCTTTGGCTGACGCGGGGTTTGGCCTCCAGCTGCTTCACGGGCTTCAGCGCGAGCGGCCGCCTTTTCCTTGGCGACGCGGCGGGCGGTGGAGGAGCGCTCCTTCTGGGCACCGGTTGCGAACATGACAGAGGACGGCTCAACCTGGAACATGTCGCCTGGGTTGAGCATGTATCCCGGATAGGGCATCTTCTTGCCGTTGACCTTGACGAGGCCGTGGACGCAGAACTGCCTGGCCTGCCTGACGCTGCTGGCGAACAGGGCACGGAAGATGGCTGTGTCGAGGCGGCGCTCAATGGGGTAGTAGGCCATTTGCATGTACGGCGTCATGGGTGGCACTCGCGCCTTCAAAGTTACGTCTGCGTCTGCTCCCGCTCCACGTCCGGCGGCCTGCTCGCTGCCGTCGTGGCGGGCGAGGTAGGTGTGGTCCATGGGCACGACGGCGGGTATGGAGCGCTTGAAGAGGCGCGCCCACTTCTTCTCGCGGATCTGCTCGCCGTGGTAGGCACGCGTGTCGGCCTTGGCGGTCCATTTCTGCTGGAAGAATGTGCGGCTTGTGACGTTGGGGGGCTTGAGCTGCGAGAGACTGTACAGCGTCCAGCGCGACATGTCCTGACGGACTTTCTACGCTGCAGTCAGCATCTGTGCACTGCGTTGTGTCATTGTGTGTTGGGATGTGTACCAGCTTCTTGAGCGAATGGAATCTCGGCTTCTTCCTCATGGCGGCGATGGGTGTGTGTTTGGCGTTAGGGAGGTTGTTGGATCGACGTTCAAAATCGCTATCGCTATTCTATTGATGCGTCCGTGCGTGCCGTAGTATCTTCAACTAGTATAACAGCACAGCATGTAACCGACGATACTACAGGAGCGCAATCCCAGCAGAGGTTTGTGTTGAGAAGCAGCAGTTAGATCTTGATAGTCGTGTCACCCATGTGCTGTTCGTCCATTTCAGACCGAGGACAGAGTGAGCCAGCATGAAGAGTGTCGACCGTTGTAATCACCGAGTAGCCTGAAGTACGCTAGTGAAAATACCTAACTCCAGCTTCACCCACACGACTTCTGCTGCACCCTTCGACTCACCACCTGCAGCGAATTGATAAATAGTCGGACTGCCACAGTATTACTCTGCGATCCAGATTCACATTTTATCATGGCCGACACAACATCTGCTGCGCCCGCAGCTGCCCCCGCTGAGGCGCCCAAGAGTGAGCAATGCGCGCACGTGTTGCAGAAACTCGAGACTGACGCCCTCAGATGTTGAGACCAAGACCGAGCAGGCGCCCAAGACCGACGGCGAGGAGATTCTGAACCTCAATGGCAGCGAACACAAGGACCGCCGTGAGCGCCGCGACCGTGACGACCGCGACAACCGATCTGGCGGCCGCGGTGGCCGTGGTGGCCGTGGACGAGGTGGCCCTCGTGGTGGCGGCGGCTTCAAGAACAGGAAGTGAGTGACTGCATGCGCTGCTGCGAGTGCTTGCGCTGACTCACAAACAGGGCGCGCAACAACGAGTTCGAAGACCTTCCCGAAAGCGACGACCCCGTCGAGATCCGCAACCAGGTGAGTCTTACATGAGTCTTGTGACTCTTCGCATAGCCTGACAGTGATAGGTTGAATTCTACTTCTCCACCCACAACCTTGTCACCGATGAGCACCTGTTCAAGGAGCTCGATGGACCCCAGAACCGCCCCGTCAGCATCAAGCACATTGCCGACTTCAAGCGCATGCGCCGCTTCCAGCCCTACTCGGCCATTGTGAACGCTCTGCGCGAGAGCAAGGACCTGGTCGTCGTCGACGATGGCGACTACAGCGGCTCCGGCAAGGAGGCCGTCAAGCGCAAGGAGCCCATCTCTGTCCCTGCTAGGGACGACGACGAGAAGAACCCCCCCACCACCAGCGACTTGTTCTTCCGCCTGCAGCGCGCCTCATCCAACGACCTCGGCAAGAGCGCCTACGTCAAGGGCTTCAGCACTGGCGCCGAAGAGGCTGGCCAGATTGCGCTCGAGCAGTTCTTCCGCCCCTACGGCGCCGTCATGGTCCGCAAGCGCCGCGAGCAGGACGGCTCCTTCAAGGGCAGCGTCTTTGTCGAGTTTGACAGCGAGGACAGCCAGAAGCAGTTCCTCGCTCTCGACCCCGCCCCCAAGTTCAACGAGGCTGAGCTCACCATGATGGGCAAGAAGGAGTACAGCGAGATGAAGTGCAAGGAGAAGGGCATCAAGCCCGAGTGGGAGCGCGACGGCAACGAGAGGCGCGAGCATCGCGACGGTCGCGATGGCCGCGACAACAGGTCTGGCGGCCGTGGAGGCCGTGGAGGCCGCGGTGGACGTGGTGGACGAGGAGGCCGCGGCAACGGCCGTGACGACCGCAACCGTCGCGATACACGCTCGCGCCGCGACCGTAGCGGCTCCGTTGACGGCGATGACTGGAAGAACCGCCGCGACCGCTTCCAGAACGGCAAGGACGATCAGCCCAAGGAGGTCAAGGAAATTGAGCGCGACGCCTCTGGCGTCCCTGTCGTCCAGGACACATCCAACAAGCGCAAAGCGTCTGACGAGGCCGGCGGCGAGGACAAGAAGAGCAAGCTCGAGATCAAGGAGGATGCGTAGTGTAATCTGCTCAACGGACTGATACATGTGCGGGACGACTTGGTTGCATATACGGCGTTATGGTTGCTTCATTGCTATGGTCGAGATACCATTACGATTGGCTGGGTTGGAAAAGTATTCGTTATCACACAATACACGTCGCTTCTCTTCGTCTTGAACTATGACTCTATTTATGTGGTTTGACAGACAATGCAAAAGAATCATGTCTTTATCAGACAGACTTCTATTCACTGTTCGTCCAAACATGAAGGTCAACACACGGCCGAAGAAGCAAACAACCTTCCCAGCTCACCGATCCATCATAGCCTATACTACTGTTCTTCAGCCTTTTGCCTATGAACTAATCACCAACCCCCTTCCCTCTGTCGCTCCTTCCCTCCTCCACCCTCCAACAGCAAAAAACATGCTCAAAAAAGCAAAATGACACGAGTGGGGTTCGAACCCACGCACGTTTCCGTAGTAGAGATCTGAGCTAACGAAAGCGCTTTTGCAAGGATGCAGAGAAGCAGCAGGAGTTGCTTAAATCTACCGCCTTAGACCACTCGGCCATCGTGTCTCGATGTTTATTGAGGATTAAAGGAAGATTGTGGAGAGGTTGGAATATGTAGCCGTTCGTAGAACAAGAAGAGAGGAGGGTAAAGGGATAAAGAGAGGAATAGAAGAGGACGGGCAGGAGAAGGAGAGAAGTTGCACGTTCTGAATGTCTATTCACTAAACTATACATACATCGAATGATCAACACCAACACTTCCAACCCCTCACCCCCTCCCT